CCGAGCGATTCTGTGATTCTGTGATTCTTTTGATGCAACCTAGGACATGGTTGGCCTTCTGGGCTGAAAGCACACATTGCCAGCCCATGTTGAGCTTTTCATCAACCAGCACCCCCAAATCCTTCTCCTTGGGACTGCTCTCAAGCCATTCTCTGCCCAGCCTGTATTTGTGCTCAGGATTGCCCCTACCCAGGTGCAGGAGCTTGCACTTGGCCTTGTTGAACTTCATGAAGTTGTCATGGGCCCACCTCTCCAGCCTGTCCAGGTCCCTCTGGATGGCATCCCTTCCCTCCAGGGTGTCAACTGTACCACCCAGCTTGGTGTCATCCGCAAACTTGTTGAGGGTGCACTCGATCCCACTGTCCATGTCCCCCGATGTTAAACAGTACTGGTCCCAGTACCAATCCCTGGGGAATGCCACTCATCACTGGTCTCCATTTGGACATCAAGCCATCAACCACTGCTCTTGAAGTGCAGCCATCCAGCTAATTCCTTATCCACCAAGTGGTCTATCTATTGAATCCATGTCTTTCCAATTTAGAGACCAGAATGTTGTGCAGAAAGCGTCAAACGCTTTACTCGTGTCCAGGTAGATTATGTTGGTTGCTTTTCCTTTGTCCACTGATGCTGTAATCCCGTTGTAGAAGGCCACCAAATTTGTCAGGCATGATTTGCCCTTGATGAAAGGGCATTGTCTGTTAATGAAAGTATGTAAATCCACTGTTGTCAGTTGATGTAAATAAGCAATTATCATAATGAAAAAGCGAGTTTTTTAATTGATCATCTCTTTCTTTGTGACTGCTTTATTGAAAGACAAATGGTCTTAAGAGAAGGATGAGGCTATGATTGAGAAAACTCCATTCTGTTCACAGTTCTTGTAGATGCTTGCATGTTACATTTACCAGATTGTTTTTTTTTCTTCCCCCCCCCCCCCCCTTGTTTTTTTCTGAGAAATAGTGTGTTGTGAGAACACAGTATAAAATCCTGCATATGTTTTCTAGATGTTAAAATAATGTTAAATACTACTGTGTCTTCTCTTGTAGTGGTTGCTTCTTCATCACCATGTGGAGTTTTTTCTTAATTGCTTTAAAATTTTTGTATTTGCTCTTTTCATATGAAATTTTTGTCATTTGGCAGCTTTTAGGTATGTTAAGTAGAATCCTGCTGACTCATCACCCAGCTGTGTCAAATGAGATAATATATGAATAGAGTTTCTTATTTGTTGTCCAGTAGAGCGATGAACTTAAGGGTTACTTGCTGCTTCAACAAAATGCCAGACCCTTTAAGAGTTAGTTTGTACTGTTCTCTTTCTTAGATAAATGGCAATGGCATACTAGGGCCTTCACAGGCAAATACAGAAAACAGTATCCATGACATGGAAGAACTAATGAGTCTCTCAGGAGCTGGAGATGCACCTTTCCTTGGCTTTACCAGTCAGATGTCAGATTTTTCTAAACACAGTGACAAATCAGGTAAGAGGAGGTGAGATGGGGGCTAGCATTATTCAGTCTTTGGTTCACAAGTACAAAAGAATCAAGGCACTGTTGAACAGACTGAAATAAGTCAGTGTTAGGCTAGAAGATAATTTCCAGGTCATGTGCTCAGCATTACAGGAATTAGTTGATGCTGGAAGTAGGTTTATGGAAATTGATTCTGTGATAGAGAGAAATGAAGGAAAGTCATAACAACAGCTAGAAATAATGCTATGGTGTGATCCCATTTAATTTTTTCCCCCAAAAACATTCTATATTGGGAAAACATGTCATTTCATACTATTTCTCTTTAGGAAAAGAGGTTGCAGATGATGAGTATTACGATGAGGATGATCACAATGAAGTTGTCCAGTATCTGTTGGATGTTGTAGATGAGGAAGCCCAGAACCTTTTTAATCGTAATAATGCAACTTCAGAGGCTCAGAGCCTTCTACATCTCAAGAAGGCTGCATCAGAAGATCACCTGCCAGGTACTGTGAGCCATTAAAAAAACGGTAGCTGATAGCAGCAAAATGCTTCTTGAAACAAGGTGCCAAGTAAGCAATTGGTTTGACAAGAGAAAGAGCTGACATTGAATTGATGTGTGAACTTAAAATTTCCCAAATAGAACATAGACAAATGGCTGCTGATGCCAGTCATCTTCAGAAGCAATTTAATAAGTCATGTTCAGCTGTAATAAATCTGGATTTTACTTTGAGTAATCTGGCAAAATTAATCCCATTCTGGAATTGTCTTTTGAGTGGAATTCATGTTGCTTAAGTACCTGTTGCTGAAGCATTTCAACATTTCACTGATTGCAGATCACACAACTTGACAATGTGTTGAGATATCTCAAAACCAATTTGCCAACCTACTTTGTCTCTTTTAGAAAAACTGGGTCTTTTTTTTAATACTTGATTGTCTGTACACCTTTCTCTTCCTTCATCCTGTTTCCTCGTCTGCACTTGTTATTAACTGAAATTTAGCATGGAGTAGGATTTGTAGCTCCTTTGTGTTGTCACACACTATGGCAGCTCCAAATGTTCAAGCAAGATGCTTGTTAATCCTGTAGAGATTCCTTCTAGAACTCAAGATCCAAACTTATAACCATCTAAAACTACAATTATGTCAGCTCTTGTGCTACTCTTCAAGTTCATTGAGTTATTGTCTTTGGTCATTATGTTAGAAATCAGGGAACACAGCCAGAACCTCATTGGAGCTCCACTAGTTTCAATTTTTTATACCTAGGATCTGGCCTTTGCAACTGAATATGCATTGAATCCATAAGATACGGCAACAGGGAACTACTGCAGCAGTCAGATGCAAGTCAGATTTTATCTGGCACATCTCAATTAGGTCTTGTTAATACAAAGAGCAGGTAGAATCCTGGTTTAGACCTACTGCTGTCTAAATGTAACTGAATTGCTGAAACATTATTAACGTAATAATCTGATAAGTTACTAGCACTAGCCTGTCTGTCCATTATACTCTGGCACAGGTATTCTGTTAGCTATGCAACCAGCCTAACATGTAATGACAGCTTTTCTAGTTAAAAAAAAGGAAGCCTGATGTCTGATTATCCTGTACGCTAACCCCTCTCTTTGAACACATTGGCAGCAAAGGGACTTAAAAGATGTTTCTTGGTTATTCTGGCACCCGTATTTCCTCATTTGTACCTGTTAGAAGGTGACTCCTGGGCGTCTTTCAGTATGTTTATGCTGTATCTTATGATTTTCCTGTCGCAGTAGAGATGAATGGAAAGCTGACAGAAGATAAGTCTGAAGACACGGACTGTGATGGGTCATCTTTACCTGAAGATTTTTCAGAGGTGAGATGGCAAGAAGCTGGCAGATATGTCTGCTGATTTTGCTTTCTCAGACATTCTTTCGATTTATTATCTTCCTTACTTCCATTCAAGTGCAAATAACTTTACATGTCTTTTTAATTAAAACATTATCAGTGATAGCTGTAAATGTTGTTCCAACATTTAAATAGTGTATGATTATTTTATTATAAATTAAATATACAAGAGAATAAAGCATGAAGATTTGTTGTTTTGGTTTGGTTTGTTGGTTTTTTCCAAAAGGGACGGTAATAAACTCCCTTAATAATGTTACTTCAGGCATTTAATCTAAAAAGTTTTCAGATCAGCAGAACTCTGTCTATCCAGTACCTCCTGACTCTTGCAGCTTTCTCTCCAGTTTGTAGAGCTGAAAGTCAAATTGGGAATCTGTCTCTGTGTCAGTGTGCTCTAGGAGATCCAAAAGTAAAATTCTCTGAGTATGGTAGTGGAAACTTAAAAGCTGCCCTAATAAGTATAAATGGAGAATTTTTCCTGAAAGGAGGATCAAAATGCCTTATCTGCTGAGTCTTTATCATCTGTTGAGGAATGTGTATATAGGAGTACCTACCAGTAGGGTAAAGTCCAATTCCATTCTATATAGGAATGCTGGCTTGACAGGAGACAGAAGTTTTAACTATCAAACTTGCCTCATAAAGAGTTTTATTAGTTTTAGAAACAACAAAAAAATCAACTGGAGAAAATTCAGATGGCTCTATGGCTGCTGTGAGTCAGGAATGATTTTAAGATAGCTTTTTGGACTTGTTACAGTATAACCACTTTCCAAGTGCTCAGTGTTCTCGTCTTCTGTTATTTTATATTAATGAGATGCCTAAAAGTGGAAAGTCTTTCATCATGTGCTACTTCAAACTTAGTCTCCTTCAGAAATAGTCTATGTAGCTGTTATTGTTTAAAATGTACTGTGGATAAATGTTGTAATTATGTCCTTTAATTTGTTTTGAAATATTTCTTCCATTAGCCAACACGCATAAATGGCTGTGAAGACTATTGTGAAGTAAATGCTATGCCAGAAAGGTAAGATTTCTTTTCTAGTATTCCTTGAAAGCAAACCTCTGAAGTCTGAAACTCCGAAGAGGAATGTGTTATAATGGGGAAAAAAAAAAACCAACCCCCAAAACAACAACAAAAAAAGCCCAATAAAATATTTGTGCAATGTCTTGTTGAATTGCTCTGTCTATTTTTGTTATTTAAAACGTTATAATTTGCTTGAATACTAGTCAGCTTTATGTGGTTTACCATGCCCTAGTTTTATTTATTCCTTTGATATGTGTTTATAACAAGTAACTGGGCTGTGTTCAAATGGCTCCAAATATCTTCATCTGCATTGTATTAAGAGTTTGGTACTTGCTTGTGAAATAAACACTCAAACAATGCTGTCTTCATTTTGAATTTTTACAAGTACACTAGTGTTGCTTCTTCTGGCTTTAGAGAACAGAAAGCAAACCGTATAGTTCCACTGTCCATCTGTTCCCTTCTGGGTGCTTGAAGCGTGTTTTTTTGGTTTTTTTTTTACATGGAAAACTAAGGATATGCCTGGCCAAGTTACTAGCTGTCTCTCTGAGCCATTCTGAATCTAGAAATTCCCAAGATCATTTCTGTGCTAGATAAGTTTAGTCCTTAGTCCAAGTGAAGCTTCAGTCAAAGTGTATATAATTCTTTTTATATTTTCATTAAGTTTCTGGGAAGTTTTGGGTTGAGACTTAGCAAAAGCAGTGTCATTATGACCTAAAATACTCAATACATTTATCACCATCTTCAACAAAGCTAGAAAACTTGCAATTGAAAATAGATATTCTAAGTAAATAAGTAGTTAATTATGTGAATGGTAAAAATCTGCTATTGGATATTATTTGACTGCTTAGCCTTTGAAAATTAAATGCAGTGATAGTTATTACTAGATCTGTCTTCCCAGCTCTTTTTCCACTGCCACCTTTTTCACATACCCACTGGAGATTTTAAAAAAGGTAAAAAATGGGGATGTTTTGAGATTACTGGTATGGATCCAACCCAGAAATACTTGTAGCTATAAATCACTTTCTGGCAATTTTTTATTAGATTGCAAATGTGTTGGTTATCTCTAAGTGTTCTTTCTTACTTCCATACCTTGTCCTCTATAGATCTCCTCCACAACCTCCCTCGAGCCAAGCCGATGAAGATGAAATCACATGGGGAAGTGATGAACTGCCAATTGAATCAAGCAGCCAGGAGTGTGTAAATAAAGGCAAGAACTTCAACAGATAATCAGTGGAAAACTGAGGATCACATTAGATAGACAGTATGACAGAAGGGAATTTTAAAATGTCCCGGATATGTTTTGACAGTGTAATGATAGGTATAATGGGAAAACTAACAGCTCAGCAACCCACTGGAGAGGATCTTTACAGCTTTGTGTAATAGCTGTGTGAGAATTAATAGGAACAATTATTGGCAACATTGGGCCTTTAGCTGTAGTAGAGTTGAAACCAGCTGATATTATATCTTCTATTGTATCTATGTGACAAAAGTTGTAACAATATAGTTTGTGTGGTTTGACTGTGATCATGCTTAAATTAGGCAGTTTTTTCTTTGCCTTGACTCTTTCACTGTTGCTCAACGTGACAGAGTGGAACACTGCTCGGTGTGTTTGGTAGAATCTAGTCTTTAGTTTCTGAGATAGCATTAGAAATGTCAGCTTCTGAAATTCATATATAGCAGCCTTTTTTATGTATTCATGAAAAGAAGAAAAGGATAATCTATGATACTTTTGACAAAGTGAGGAGATTTAGGACACTTTTAATTGTGATACCAGAGAGACTCCTGGTTTATTAATTTTGTTGTGCTTCAGAGGAACACCAAAGGCCTGACGGAAAGCAGGCTTTATTGGAAAGATGTATTTAACACATCTTACGATTACCACTTGAAAGCCATGTTGAGTATAAGTGCTAAAATTAAATCACAGACTGTGATGTTTAAGCAGAGAGTTCATCCCTGTGAATTCATCCCTTTGTGCATTCATCAGTTTTGTAGGGTTTTGTATGAAGAACTTAGATTTAAAATGTATTTGAAGCATGTTTGTTCTTCCAATGTATTTATTGTAGGTTCAGGAAAATACTCTCTTTGGTTCTTGGATTCATCAGAGCTGATTTTGCATCATACTGTTTTTGTTAGTTAATTTGGTTTTGCTTGTCAAACTGAGAGGATATCTGGCTATTCTCTGAGCTGTATGGAGGGATTCTAGAAAAAAACAAGTAGCACACTGGTGAATAGTAACAAGGAAATCTAACACTTCACTGCAGTTTGTTTCCTTAATTTTAGCTTTTTATTCCTTTCTTTATGTTTATCTCAATCTGTCTTGTTCTACTAGATTTCCCTTTAGTGACAGATGAAGAGATCTCTGCATTCCCTACTGTGAATGTGCTCCCTGGAGGCAAGTACTCAGGAGCCAAATTGAAGTCAGTGATCAGGATGTTGCATGGATTGCTGGAACAGGGAGTCCCTTCTAAAGAGATTGAAGTGAGTTAACTGTCCTTTAAAGTCCTTTTTTTTTTTCTAGTATGAAACAGTTAGAATGGCTGGTTTCTCACTGCCTTAAATACCACAGCTCTTTAATTTGCAGCTCTAAAGGGATGAAAAGAATTCTTTTACCAAAGACTTCTCTCCCTTCCCTTCACTAGCTGCTGAGAGATGAAATTAGTTTAAAACCAGAGTTCAATTCAAAACTGTGTTTACATCGTTTTTAGTTCTGGTAAATTACCAAGTGAATATGACATTAACAGGCATAGACAAGGTAAATAGAGACTGCAAAATCTAGCTGCAGAATGTGAAAACAGCCTTTTCCAAAGTCTGAAGTCAGCCATGTTCTCTTTTTTGGGAGAATAAGATAAAATATTTACTAAATAATAAGTTTTGGGGGGTTGTTTCAAGGTGGTGTATTTTCCTAGCTATATGAAATTAGATTATTTCATGTTACTGAATTATTTAGGATTTTTTTTGTGTTTGTGTCTGTTAAAGCCTTGGTTATGTAACTGCTTCTAACACTCATTAGCATTCAGCACTTTCTAATGCATATGTAATTGCTTCTTTACAGAACCTTCAGGAATTAAAACCTCTGGATCAGTGTTTGATTGGACAAGCAAAGGAGAATAGGAGGAAGAACAGATATAAAAACATACTTCCTTGTAAGTGCCAACTATAACCTGATATTTTTTTTGCCACCTGTGTGTTCAGATGGGTTGGATCAGAACTGAGATGGTTCTAATCCTAGTTCTACTACTGAGTATGGAAAAAAGTAAATCTGCCACTTATTTCCTGCACATTTAAAGTGAGCAATTTTAAAGTAATTTAAGATTGGTGAACAATAGGCTACTGTTGCAGGTAGGGATGAATGTTCAGATTCTTCAGTTGTGTCAGCAGATCCTGTGTCTTAAATGAGATATATGTATGGACCCAGACAAGTTTTTTTTCTGTTTTACCCATGTAAAATGGGAAAAACAGACATGTATACTATTGTCAGTAAATTTTCTGTAACAAAATTCTGTTTGTTAGCTAGGAGATGTATGGAGGAGAAGGGAGAACTGACAAGGGTTAGTTTTGAGTGAGAAATAGTCAACTTTGGTTTCAGAAGAATTCAAATCACATATTCTGCCTGTCTGCTGATTTAGATTTCTTCCCTAGCCATCTTTTTCTTTATTCAAAGAGAAGTACTGTTTAGTATTCTAAAGCAAGTATTGAGATTTTTTTAAAAATAAGATCTGGAAGTGTCTTGGGAGATAAGTACTATGTGAGTGTGTGGGGTTCAGCATCAGTTATAATTGTGTGCAAACGTAACACCAAGTTATTTTTATGTGTGTGCAGATGACACCACTAGAGTACCTCTTGGGATTGAAGGTGGATACATCAATGCCAGCTTCATTCGCATGCCAGTGGGGAATGAAGAGTTCGTTTACATTGCATGTCAAGGACCTCTCCCTGCCACTGTAGCAGATTTCTGGCAAATGGTTTGGGAGCAAAACTGTACTGTGATTGCCATGATGACTCAGGAGGTTGAAGGAGAAAAAATCAAGTGCCAACGTTACTGGCCAGATGTACTCAATAAAACTACTATGATAAATGATAGGCTACGGCTTGCTCTTGTAAGAGCCCAGCAGCTGAAGGGCTTTGTCATTAGAGTGCTGGAGCTGGAAGAGATTCAGGTAAATGAATCGAATTCTGCATGCTAAAAATATTTTTCTGAGTGGTGTTTTTATCCTCATACTTCTGGCGTGCCCGCTTTCGATTGCAATGTCTACACTGAGAAGTAACCTTTCCTACTTTGCGTAGTGATCATTACTAAGCAACTCTTCCTCATTGCAGCATGTGATACGCTGTGACCCTTATAGGAGAAGGCAGTTGGGCTAGGAGATTATTTTATTATGCTAATGAGACTCTAAATTTTGGCTCCCTATGTGCCTTTGGCCACAGAAACATATATTAGGGATGTGAAATTCACTAATAATTCAGTCTGGCTGGTTCATTCCTTTGCATGATCATCTCAGTCTGCACAGTGCAGCTTACACAATTTCATTACTTGCTGTTTGTTTTCAGTTTAGCTCATTGTTTCTCTTGTTTTGTTGAATTACAGAACACCTTCTTTGGGCAAATCCTGCTCTTCCTAGACTGTTTCCTTTGGGAACTTACCTGTTGTCTTTTTCTTCTTCCCATGTGTCACATTTTGTTGTTGTTGTTGTTTTTAAATCTCAGACGGGTGAAGTACGGCACATTTCCCATCTGAACTTCATCGCCTGGCCTGATCATGATACCCCATCTCAACCAGATGACCTGCTTACTTTTATTTCCTACATGCGGCATGTCCACAAATCAGGTCCTATCATAACTCACTGCAGTGCAGGCATTGGACGGTCAGGGACCCTTATTTGTATAGACGTTGTTCTGGGGTTAATCAGCAGAGACCTCGATGTGAGTACCCAAGAGGATGGGCTAAGCTGTGCTTTTGACTTGCAGGAAATGTGTTCCATTGGAGCTCTTCAGTTCTTTAAAGAATATGCCATGCTTTGGAGGGTAGCATGCTGGGTATGTCTCAATGTGACATAAATCAGGGTGTAAGATTGATGTGAAATACTTCAAGTTGTTAAGTGTCCTGTTTGTTGAGACCTCAGCAATCCAGTGTCATTAAATGCCACTCAAGATGTTCTGGGGTATGTTGCAAGGACATTTCTACTGTAGCAGACTTCTGGTATATGGCTTGAGAACAACAGCGTGTTGATATGATGATGCTGGCAGTTGAAGGAAAAGTTAAAATACCTGCCTCACCTCGCTGGATATACTCACTGGAACTATCATGTTAAATGGCGTTGGCTAGAAACCAACCAGAGTATCTGTTTAGGCTACTAAACAGAAAACTCAGTGTACAAATGTCTCAGCCCAAGATGGGGGTGTGTAAATTAACAGCACAACCAGAGATAGGCTTTCTAAGATGATCCACAGGAGGGTGCTAGCTTCCTTATATTTATGTCCAGCAGTGGCCTGTTGTAGCAGTCTTTTTGTGAATTTGTAGAGAAGATGAGCTATGTCCTGCTTAGCTCAGCAGGGCTTCTAAGCATCCACTAAATGTCTGGAACTTTATAGACATGAGAAAATAAAAAAACATTTTGTTAGGTTGGACCAAGGGCCTCTATTTTCTGCACACTCTGCTCCTAGTAAAAGTAAGCAAGAGAGCCTGTGCACAGAGATGGAAAACGAGAGGAGGATGGCATCTGATGTAGGAAAGCCACATCTATATTGCCCAGAGGCAGCACATGCTGGTAATCTACCAAACACACACAGGCACGGATTGTTATTTGTTTCACTACTAAATGTTTAACGTAACTAGTTGGACTCATTGGTTTGATGCTAGAGATGTTTGATGTGTATGCTTGTGTCTTTTTTCAATGTTTAAATTTCTGTTTGTTTTGGTAGTTTGACATCTCAGATCTGGTGCGCACCATGCGTCTGCAGCGACATGGGATGGTTCAGACAGAGGTGAGTCTGGCTTCTCCACGTATGCACTAAAGGAGGGAACCTGGGATAATAACTGATGTGCCAGGAAACCTTCTGTAACGCACACAATGACTGCCTTTGTCCCCTCTAATGCAGTGTTTGTGTCATGAGACTTAAATCAGATGCATACCAATGAAGGGCAGTATGTATTTAACAGTTATAAATACATGCAATCTTTAACATGCCATGCTGTTTCGGTCTGTGCTTTGTGAACAAAAACAAAAAAAAAGTTGGTAGTTTTCTTCTTCAAAAGTGTGTACTATAGAGATCAGCTGATTTTTTTTAAATCTAAAAGTTGCATTACAAACTGAAGAGAAAGCCTAACTGTAGCTGCTATGAATCACTGATACTACCAGAGATGTCTTGAAGTCTCCTTTTGGGGAGATATTCAACCAGGAGTTAAATGAATGTGGTAGGAGCAGTCTAGATGTAGAGCTAATTAACTTTACCTTAGAGATGGACATCACGGAGTCTTGTTAAAATCTGCACTTTTTCTTTGCATGTGAAGGGATTGTCAAATCAGAGGTTTGGGTGGTTTTAAAACAAATAAACAACCCAACACCAAACAAACAAAAACACAAACCAAAAACAAACAAAGCAAAACAAAAAAAACCCACCAAACCAAAAAACCACATGCCAAACCAAACTACAAAACTCTCAGCCCCACTTTGCACCCTAACACATGTATTAACACCCCCACCTCTGTCACTGAGGTTAAGAAGTTGCACTGTCATCTGAGTTCTGTATTAGTTTGGCATAGATGCAAGACCTTGAAACTCATACGCTGCCTGAATTTCTACTTTTCTAAAGTACTTACTCTTTTTGAGGAGGTTTTGGTGTGAAAGGAGGATAAACGTCCCATATAAAAATATGCCTTTAGTGGCAGGGGAGTTCCTGTATTTGTCTTAAGTTGAGGTTGCATATTGGGTTTGGGTTTTTTTGTTTGTTTTGTCATTTGTTTTTTTTTTAATTTAACTGTAGAAATAGTGTTGAAATCAAGTGATGTGTGTCTGTGAAGTGCAGATGAGAGTGAATGGCTTAGGCGTTACAAGCATTTTTCACTTATTCTGTGATTTCCTTTCCCTTGCAGGATCAGTACCTTTTCTGCTATCAAGTTGTCCTTTATGTCCTGAAACATCTCCAACATGAAGAGCAACAGAGAGGCAAATAAAACACTGAAGCAGAAGTGCTTTTGAAATAAGGAAGCAAGGAGGTCTAGAAGCTCTCACGTTTTCTTTGTTCTGCCAATAGTTTTCCAGGCCTTTTCTTCAGTTGCTATCAGATGTCTTTTCTATCCATCATTCCAACTAAGGTATATAATTATAAGGAAAAGCTCATAAAATACCACTAATGTCTTCAGCCCCATGGACACATATGTGAGATTTTTGTATAACAGTATATAATATTTAATAATGCTGCATTTTTTGCAGCTTCCTTAATATGTGATAAAGTACTGAAATAAAAATATTTTAATTTAAAAAAAAACAAGAAGAAGAAAAAACTAATCTTATAATACCTCCTGCAGTTCTGCAACTGTTTTGGGGTATTTGTTTCTTATGGGCTGGGGATGTGGGAGGGATGAAGCACTATTTTCATCCTGGCAAATTTTATTACAAAGATATTTTACTAGTTTCTTTTAAAAGCTTGTTTATGGCACAGAATTTTTGCCGCTTTAGTACAGTTACAGCTATTTGACAGAGGCTATCTTGAAAGAGATGCCTTGTAGCATAAGGATAGGAATGAATGTTTACTGTAAGTATCACAGTTAATGTTTACTTCATAGAGTTTTAGCTATATATTTATACACTTTTACAAAAAAAAGCTGAATTATCAGGTGTCTAACCTTATAACTGATTAGGCATCTCCACTCTGTAAATAAAAAATACACTTAAAGTACACTGGTCAGTGGGTCTGGGTATTTTTGTGTCCTTGTGACTGATTTTTCTTGCCTTGTGTTACATCCTTCACTGTGGTTACTGCACTGAAGAACTTTGCAACAAAAAGGCTGTGTGTCTTTTTAAGTTTTCAGTGTCCTCCTGTTATTCAGTGTCCGTTTGAGAAAAGCTGCAGGACTGTGGGTTCCTCTCTGGACAGTTTCCACATTGTGGTGAACAGAAGAGGATAATTTTTCTTCTCTCCTTGTTTTTCAGCATACCTGGGCATTGAGACCGTATCACATTTTTTTGGATGTTTTTGTGCTTGGATGCTATGGCAGTGATCTGACAGCAATGTAATCTACTAAAAGCAACCCAGTTTGAGGTGGGAGCCAGGATATCAGGTTCTAAGTAACTCAGTGTTTTAGTGATACTGTAGATAATCAAAACTGTACTGAAAGGAAACTGGTTTATGCTATATGGGAACCTGGGATGATGATTAACTGTTGTCAGCCAGCACAGGACAATTCAAGGGTTTGGCAGTATTCTTGTCCCAGCAGTCCTTACCAGAATTGAAGGTTGTGACTTGTCCAGTCAGGAAGTGTATAGGAGTACTAATTTGACAACATTTTGCATTGCAGAGGTGGATTTAAGTTCAGAGACCTGTGATTATCCAAGGTTTTCACTCTTCAGAATAGTAGCCCACAGCATTCAAGTGTCCTAGAACTGAAACGGTCACTGTCTCAGCTTGTTTAATGGTGTTCTAGCTAGCAATAGCGTGACTTAAAAAAGGAAAATAACCTTTTTCATTTGTCACAGTAATGCTGTGATTTTTATTCTCTCCACCACACCAACACAATTGAAAAGTTGTGTCTTTTTCAGACCAGTGTAGTTTGAGGAAGGAAAATGAATTCTGTGTAGATAAGAAGCAGATTGACTAGCTGACAGTGTATCTATATAAAGGAACTTTAAAGTGAAGACAGAAGATATTCAGGACTACAGTTGTCAACAGGCAAAGTAAGTAAATGCAGCTAGTTGATATGCTGCTGCTGTTTTAACATGGTGAGTTCAGAGCATTTGGGTATGTCTGGTTTTTAGAAACAAAAAAATGGTTATAGTAACTAGACAGTATAGTTAAGGTGATTTAATTCTTCCTTTAGATGTTTTCAGATACAAGCCAAACAATGTAGAAACAGAACTGTTGGGTTTTTTTTATGAAGCCCATTCTGATATTAGGCTGTAATCTGATGCAAATTATTTGCCCATGGGCAACACAAATCAGTACAAGAGTCCAGGATTTGCTACTTGTCTTCACAGATATGAAGCTCTGTGGTATGGTGTATTACACCCAGTTTTCTTTTAATGTTGGGTGCATAGAAAAACAAAGGATAATTAACTTGACCTAACCTTCCCACTCCCAGAAAAATGAAAGAACCCTCCCAGACAATCCTTTGTTTCTCAGATGATTGCCCTTGGAAGGTGAGCACATGGTTAGTGAATAAACAGATCTGTCTATTCACTCTGCTAATGTTTAGCTCTAGAAGGCCAGCTGGGAAACCCAGCTATCCCCATTCACTATTTTAACTCTTTTTGAGAAACCTGGGATCTTGTGAAGCAAAGCATTCTTGTCTGAACAAAAAAGGATAAATGTGGCCCTTCTTCATCTGACTTCAGTCTGTTTGATCTGGCTCTTTCCATCTGGAATCATCTTCCCAATACCATCAGTGTACAGCTGAAAACAAGATCATGCAGGATAATATGGAGTTTTACACTTAAGTTTTCTTGGCCAAATTCCTGATTACGCTGACTATGATAAAACAGATGGGCCCCAATGGGAAACATTCAGGTGTTTATAAGAAGTCATGAAAGGTGACATTGTCCTCTTTTGAGAATTGGTCTGAATTTCTTTGGGTTTTTGTCTCAGCCTCAAGGAACTGGATATCTAATAAAAATTGAGTGCTTCCTAGTTTAAAATTTGTGAGGACATTGCGAGGGTCTGTCTTCTGCTAAGCAGGTGGAGCTTGCCATTTGTGACACTTGGGAGTTGTCAGTTTGGTTTAAATAGACCCAAGAGCTCAAAACTTATTACAAAATAGATGTGCCAACACAGTGTGATTGCCTAAGCTTGGCTTCTATGGGGAACCAGACTAGGAACATGCATCGATACTCAGCTTTTCCTACACAGGATTAGACTACCTAAAATCCTTATGCCTCCTTCAAAGAAATGAGAAGAAAAATGGCTGAGGATCTAGTTCCTTGAATAGAGCACATACTGTGTGCTCTCTTAGTACACTGACTACATAATTTTCAAGGGGGGTAGGGGGTGGGAAATCTTGAGTGCTTTTGGGGGGGGGGGATCAGTTTCTTTTTCTGCTTTTTTGTCTTTTTCCTTTTCTCTCATTTTTTGAATTTTTTATTTTTTTCCATTTTTTCTTTCTCTCCTTTTTTTTTTGTTTTTCTCAACTGTGTCTTGCTGAGTATGCAACCAGGACATGTTCTAGTTGAAAGAGACTTTCCCTTATAGATATCTGATTTTCAGCAAGAAGTTTACCAGACTAGGCAAAGACCTGATATATAACTCATTATGGTTCTAATTAAAGAACTGTCCTTGTGTGTTAACCAAAGAAAGAAAAGATGCTTTTTTCCTTCCAACCAGAATTAGCTGACAAAAGCATATACCCTTTGCTACATAAGCAGACCTGTGCCATTAGTAGTTTATCATACCTTTGTTTTTCTCGCTGGTTTTTGCCTATGCATGAGAAAAGAAAGGCAGTGGCCTACAAAGAAGAAATTTCAGTTGCTCCTTGGAGACTTTTGAGAGCTCATTACTGTTGCTCCTGAATGCTTCTAAGCAGCCTCTTCCTTTACAACTTACTTCCTTCTAAAACTAGCTCAGTAGTTCAGTAGCTGTCTGGCAAAAGGAGGAGTGGCTGGAGAGAAAAGGACCTGGGGGTGTTAGTTGACAATCAGCTGAACATGAGCCAGCGGTGTGCCCAGGTGGCCAAGAAGGCAAACAGTATCCTATCTTGTATCAGGAATAGTGTGGCCAGCAGGAGCAGGGAAGTGATCCTTCCCCTGTACTCGGCACTGGTGAGGCTGCATCTCAAATCCTGTGTTCCATTTTGGGCCCCTCACTACAAGAAAGACATTGAGATGCTGGAGCATGTTCAGAGAAGGGCAACAAAGCTCGTGAAGGGTTTAGAGCACAAATCTTATGAGGAGTGGCTGAGGGAGCTGGGGTTGTTTAGTCTGGAGGAGGCTGAGGGGAGACCTTATCGCTCTCTGCAACTACCTGAAAGAAGGTTGTAGAGAGGTGGGGCTCTGTCTCTTCTCCCTGGTAGCTAGTGATAGGACATGGGGTAATGGCCTCAGGTTGCACCAGGGAAGATTTAGGTTGAATATTAGGAGGAGTTTCTTTACTGTAAGGGTTGTCAAGCACTGGAACAGGCTGCTCAGGAAGGTGGTGGAGTTACCAACCCTAGAGGTGTTTAAAAGATGAGTAGGTGTTGTGCTTAGGGACATGCGGGCTGCTGATCCATGGAAGAGGGAAAAAGAAGGAAGGAGCAGGAGTCAGTAAGAAGGCCATCCCCAGCAATCTCCCCAATTTATAGTGAATGTGATGTTTATGGTATGAAGTAATTGTTAACTGGTCAGCCTGGGTCATCTGCTCCAGCTTTTGCTTCTTCTGACTTCTACACCTGCTTAACTCAAGGTTGTCAAAAGACCTTGATCATAAACATGCATACCAGGACTGGCTAAAAACTGTAACAGAGTTTTTTTTATCTGCCTTGTTTACATGAAATAGAGTGTTGTAGTCCTTACAAAATTGCATTTTTTCTCAGCAGAAAACTGTCTAAAATTCCATCCCAATAAGCCAGGACAGCTGGGAGCAGGTTTAATTGCTAATTTCCTCAAGTGGGTCCCAGGAAATGGATTTTGTCTTCCTTGATGTACTGTGATGACTTCCATAATTTGTTTTTTTTTCCGTCAGGGCTCTGCTACTTCAGTATAATAGCTAGATTCCCGAAGTGTTAAGTCTAAACAAGCCAACTCAGTCACAAAAGCAGCCCGGGTATTCAGTAACAAGGAGCTTTGTATGGGTCTAATTTGACTTCTCAGCTCTCTTTAAAGCTAAACTGGATATTTCCACACTATCCTCAAGAACAGATGCACTGGGATACTCCATTAAAAATACATAGCTTATCCTACAGCTGTCTCTTCATGTGTACTCATAATTCTACTGAGTCATATATTGCTACATATGCTTTTTATTTCTTCAGGGGGACGTATGTGTTCA